TTATCACTATAACCCCCCCCCCCCCCACCCCCTCCCCCTTCCCCTCCCCCTCCTCCTTCTTTTGGTCCAAAATAAATTTTGAAATAGGATTTTAATGTAGAATATGTGGTTAAAAAATAAGAAAAAAATTTATGTTTACGTATAATATTATTTTATTGAAAAATTTACAATTGAAAATAAGAAGAAAAAAATATATTTTGAAAATAATGAAGACCAAACAAATTCTTAGATTAGTAGTCATTTCGAATTTAAATGAAAACATTTGATTTTGTTTTTCATATTTTTCTTTAATATTAAGGTAAACTTTAGTACAAGCTATTTTCACGAAATTGGAAGGGATTTGGTAGTTTCTTAAAGTTTGGAGTGCGTTATCTTCAACTTAAAAGTATGATGAACTTATTATTTACATTCTTCGGCAGCATTAAAAAAAAAATTTCGTAACTCATAATGTAATATGCAGTTCATATATTTATTTACGTTCATTGACTTTTACAAGTTTATTAATGACTATACTTAGAAATGAAATTGTCTGTGAAATAATTTCTAAATATAATGCAAAATAGGATTACGTTACTTATTTAGTGTTTGATTTTTTGAGAACATGCTTTTCAAATTTTAGACCATCTTTGCTACATCCATTTAAATATTAATTTTACAATAATATATATTTAATTGTGTTCAAAACCTTTCAAGGTTGTTATATTTAGTTTTCTTAGTATTTAAATATTATTACATATATATTCACTCCCCTCTAAGAATTGTTAGGGTAGAATTGCGCAACTATCAACATATTTGCTAAATATTAATTTATTGTAGTAGGTTCACTTCTTGAATTATATGCTCTGTCTTTCGTATAGTCTGAGTTAAATATCGGATGGCCAATTAATTTCCCAAACGTTTTTTTACTTGTCATTGAATTTTAAAAGTTTTTCGAGTAATCAATAAACTTTTATAAATATTTTTCAGTTGTCATTGAACATTAACGGTTCTCCCGATTACCACTGAACTTACATAAATATTATTCCATTTGTCACTTGTCAGTTGTCACTCATCATTTTGAAAATTAATTGGTAAATGACATGGTGGTCAGAGCAATAGATGAAATAACATTTTGTTAAGTTCATCAAGTTCGTTTACTTTTAAAACTAGAGTGGCTGGTAAAATAATATTTTAATAAGTTTAGTGACAACTTTGAGAATTTTTAAAATTCTAAGGTAATCGAGAAATATTTAGAAAAGTTCAATTGTAAGTCATAGATCTTTAATAGTTTAACGGCAATTGGAAAATGTTTGTAAGTTTAGTGATAATTAGAATATATGACTGAGTCCAATGATGTGGCATTAGTCAATTAGAAAATAAATTCCAAATTTTCAAGTGAGACACAGAATTCCATTCCATTAAGCCCGTGATTAAAGGTAGCCTAACATTTTCACTTTTCTTGAAGAATTAATGAAGTCTGATGAATCCAAAATATCTAGAAATATGATGCAATATATTTCTCTCTCTACCTGTAAAGACCTTGCCAAAAAATCTCTCCTCATTAGAAATATTCAAACCAAAGATTTAAAGGAATTGACTACTGTTTTGAGTGCAAAGTCTTTTCCAATTAACCACGAAATATTAGATGATAACTAAATCATTATTCCTTTTTCACACACGAAAGAAGTTACAAGTTATGGAGGAGAGAGAGAGAGAGAGAGAGAGAGAGAGAGAGAGAGATCCTAGTTTATAAAAGAAAATAAATAAGTAAAAATCATACAACATTTGCACTGGACGGCAGCCAAGTTGAATTCTTATATGGTAATTTTATTAAGGTAAAAATGTTGTTGCTCCTGGACAAAAGACCACTCGACAATTAGTTCCCCGGGGACAAGTAAACATGCTAGTCTGATCATCTTTAGGGTAACTATATGCATTGGGCCACCTGTCCTTGAAAAACTTAGAATAGTTTGTAGGGCCAAAGTTGCCAGAGTTGCAACAATATTCGTATGTCTTGAATGTCTTGCATGTGTTATTACAGCCTTCGGGTGCCTTTAACTCATTTGGACACTGGCCATTCATGTCGGCTGTGCAACGGATTCCACTAGCATGACTACCGGTGGGACTAAAATCCATGGCACGTTAAATCCATCAACAAGGGAAATATCGAAGAAGTCCAAGTTATTGACTTGGTTGAGGGTGTATTCGGCTAGGGTGTTAGGTGGTGCGCCACCATTGGCTTGACACTAGAGTAGCAAATTGCAGTTTGTTGTTTGACATCTACCACTGCCAGAGGTGTCAAAGTTGCAACCTGTTCGAGCCCAAATTCGGCCCTCTTTGGTGCCTGCACCAGAGAAGATGACCCAAACTTGGCCGTTGTCAAGGTTCATGCCACCCTCAGGCAGGGGCGGTTCCAGCACGAGTCTCGGCGGCTACCCGTGTTGGCTCCGCTAGAGCTTCAGTTGTCACCGGGCGCCGGAGCGAGAACCTAGAAGCTTGAATAGTTGAATTGCAGAGAAGCGCCCTATGATTTGTGGAAGAAGATGAACAAGTTCCAATTTGGGTTTTTGGGTTTTGAAGTTTTGGACCTTTTGATTGGGCCTCTTTTTTTAAAAAAAAAAAAAATTAAGCCCAAATCTTAATTTCAAAAACAATTACCAGGTCCAAGCCCATTAAACTATTTACCAATATCGCACACCAATTACGTTCCAAACGCAATTGAATCAGGCAAACCCTAGTGTGGCTGCGAATGCGAGTTACTACTTGCGAACTACGAACTCAGCCTCTGCGACTGTGATGGCCTGTGCATATGTTGCGACCAGTGAGTCTGTCTGTGACGTTCTCCTTTTTTGTATTTGTAAAATCTACGTTACTTGCTTCAAGTATATTTTGGTAGCATATTGTTGAATGTTGATTTCCTGTTTGTTGAAGCCGGAAGGTTGTTAAAGCCTAAAATTCTCGCCTAGCTGGATATAGTTCTTGATGATTTTGGACCAATTGGCTGCAAAGCAAGGTTAATCGATTTCTCATTTTCCTTTTCAGTAATTTGAACATATATATCGCTATTTAATTGGAGATTATAAGTAATTTGAACATATATATATTGCCTATTTAATTGATTAATTGTAAACTGAAAGTCTGACATATTATATTAGTATTTTGTTATGATTAATTGGAGTTATGTTCAATTTGAACATATATATTTGGGAGATTATTGGAGTTATGAATCTCATATCATAGTTTTAACTATGACTTTTAGTCTGTTATATGAATTGACTGCAAAATCGTTTATGTTCTCCTCTTTGTGTTTTAATCTTGTCTGCAATAGATTGCCGTTAAAACAAAAAAAAAAAAAAGGGAGTTGTACAATTGATTTTGAAATGTGTTTTAATTAATTGCTTACTTGCAGATTGAAAATAGGGCTTATTAGGCTTGGTTTATCACAAGCTAATAAAACTGGTGTGGATCATTTGTAAGAAATGTTAAAAGATGTCAAGATTATAGATAGATTAATATAAAATGAAATAGTGAATTGAATCAAGATTAGTTATAGACACCTCTTAAAAAACTTCTTGATGATAAACAATCCCGTTATTATGGACGTACAGTCAGCATAAACGTCCGTCCTAGCTGGACTTGAATCCTGGATTCGCTGGGTATAGCGACAGCCCAAGCTTGGCCAAGAAGAATGTCCAAATTCTCATCCTTTTTCTTGAATTGTTTATGATGTTTTTTCTACAACTAAAACAATTATAATGCGAAAAGAACCTTGACAGGGAAATACAAAATTATTCATATTTTTCTTTAATATTAAGGTAAACTTTAGTACAAGCTATTTTCACGAAATTGGAAAGGATTTGGTTGTTTCTTAAAGTTTGAAGTGCGTTGTCTTCAACTTAAAAGTATGATAAACTTATTATTTACATTCTTCTGTAGCATTAAAAAAAAAAAAATTGCTTTTGTCACTCATAATGTAATAGGTGGTTCATATATTGACTTTTACAAGTTTACTAATGACTATACTCAGAAATGAAATTGTCAGTGAAATAATTTCTAAATATAATGCAAAGTAGGATTACGTTACTTATTTAGTATTTGATTATATGTGTTTCGAGAACATGCTTTTCAAATTTTAGACAATCTTTGCTACGTCCATTTAAATATTTATTTTACAATAATATATATTTAATTGTGTTCAGAATCTTCCAAGGTTGTTATATTTAATTTTCTTAGTATTTAAATATTATTACTGTTAAACAATCCAAATAAATAAATAAATAAAAGATGAGGCTAGTGTTTCATTGATTATGTATAATGATACAAAAAAATAATTTAATTTAGATACAAAGAGACTATATATATGCTAAACAAACAAAACTGAAAAGACTATTTTACCTTTAATAAACAATAAAATAAAATAATCATATATTTCTTAACAATTACTATGATTTTTTTGAGATATATGAAATAAGTTTATTTTCGACATAAAATTCGTGTATATATGTATGAATTTGTTATATATGAGTATATGATTTTATTGAATTATAATTTTCAATTGTATAGTATTTTTTATATACGAGTATATAATTTTATTGAATTATAATTTTCAATTGTATATGAATTGATTTAAACCTATTGAATAATTTGAAACAACAAACATTAAAGAAAACGTATATAGTATGCTAAATTAATACTAATGTGTATGCCTTTTATGTCATAATAAATTGTTAACTTAATTAATTTGCATATTTTGAATCAGAATAATTTTATTTTTTTTTTTGTCCTTTTCTATGAAATTCTATTTAAGTTAATTAGATTGATTCATAGAACTAATTTGGGGACTAAAATGGAGGCAATTGTCGGGTTTCTATATATCATAAGTTTGTTTCTCGTCAATTCAGATTTATTGGACTCATATTTGATTTTTAATAAAATCTATACGAAAACATATTCCTTGATCGAAAATTTTGTCGTTGGTTGAATGTCTTAGTTTAGACAATTTTTAGTATATTCTAATGTCCTAACTAATTGAAAAGCACCAAACATATTATTTCTTTTATTGAGAATAAGAAATTTCCGATGAATCTATCGTGGCACTTCAATTTTTCTTTAAACCCAGCAAAACTCAACATTAATGCAAGTAATTCACTCAATTTTCTTTGTGGAATTTCTTTTTAAACAACTGAAAAATAGATATATTGGTCGAAAATCACAATATAACACTTAATTTTAAACATGCAAACATAAACATTGCAATATAATATAATTGCCTCGATACAAGCTTAAAACAATAAAATAAATACAAAGTTCAAAAATTATTTTTTCAAAATAAAATAAGAAAAATAGTATCATAAATTATTATTTTTCTTAAAGAACCAATCGAAGCTGACTGACAAGTATAGATGCTGAAGTATAAATTGAATTAATAAATTACAGTAGGAGTGTAAGCGGTTCGATTTTATCGGTTTTTGACAAATTTTCAAACCAAACCGTTTAAATCGGTTTGAGAAAAACTCAAACTTAAACCACACAATTTTGAACGATTTGAAAAAAACTCAAACCTA